TTTCTCATTATTGAAGCTGAAGTATTAGTGGTATTGTGGTGTTTATTTATTCAGCATGGATGTTCTCCTTTACTTTTGGTTTGGGGCGGAACGAGGTGAGGACCCAGGTGTTATGGGGATTGGGGAAAGAGATTTTAATTATTTATTTACATAATGAACCCAATTTTATCCTAATTTATTTCTTTCAAAAATAACTTTTTCTTTATTATTATTATTATTTGTTAAAAAATATTTTATAATTTAAATTACACAATTTTAATTATTACGTGCCTTGATATTAAAAGATTCATTTTTTATTCAATAACTTTTGTTTTACAATCTGAACTATTTATATTGTAAAATAGAAAAAAAAAATTTAATGTAACCTTTATCTTTTATTGGAGCTCTCAAGTCTCAACTGATGCTTGTTATCATCAAAAAATATATGGGCTTCTCTCTGGGGCAGAATTATGGGCTTCTTCAGGTTCCAGTCAACAAAGCGGAATCAGGTCTAGAGATTTTAAAACCCAACAAAAATGGGCCTTCCTTTTTTCGGCCGAACTTGAACGCCCGCTCCTCCGAGTTCGTTCCGTTCCGTCCCGTCCTTAAACCGGTCATCACCAACACACCGAAGTTCTAGTTGAGCTCAACTGCACAGAGAATTATATTTTTTATAATTAATTTATATTAAAAATTATAAAAATTAATATATATTTTAACATTATTAATACGTAAATAATTTTAATCAATTAATTTTAAAATTAATATATATTTTAGCTAAATGTTGCTTTTTACCCTTCAAAAGCCACGACAACCCAGTAGGCTTACCAGTACACTCCACCGGGTCTTACACGTGGTCCAATCAGATTACGCCGGTGAGCCTTCCCAAACCGTCTGATCCAAAAAACCGGACAACACGTGTAAAATGTGATAACACGCCACAACATCTCGAAACACAGCACCGCACAACGCTTCCAATGCTTCACTTCCACGCCTGAAGATTCCCTGGAATCCTCGTGCCATTGAATTAACTGCAAATTCCGCATGCAACTATTCTTAAAAAGGAATCCGTTTCATCAATTTCTACAGTTCCTTCTGTAAAGTTCGATGCAGATATGTTAAATCTTCGGATGCAAGGTTGGGCTTCCATTTAAGGCGAGCACGGAGCAGAATCAAGCTATGTGCATGTGCTTTGTTTGGATTAGAATTCTCTCTCAAATGGTATTGGTAGGGTAAGTAGGTCCTTTTTCCTGAACTTTCGAAGAAAATGCCGCCAGAGCAAGGTCCTCCGACGCCTCGAAGCTCCGCTTACATCAACGCCCTCACACAGGAAATCCAGAAGAAGCTTCAACGGGTTCGGTTTCTCAGCTATTTTCTCTAAAATTAGTATGCCTAATCCGTTTGTTTCCTGAGAAAGTGAAGGAAAGGTGGAAGGAATCTATTTAGATTATTGTTTTCCTTGATTTGAAGGAAAAAACAAAAAAAAAATCTAGTTTAGACACTAATTTTTATAATATTTTTAGCTTTATTAATTTTCTTTTCCTAAACGAGCTCGGCGACAACGGGGAGAGAAATAATTTTGCATTCCTCAATATAGTGAGGGGTGTATTAGATTAGGAAGTGAAGCTGTTGACTGATTGGAATCTTGAAAGTACATTTCTTGTTATTCATTTATGCAATATTTGTTTTTGAAAAGAGAAAGCACACTGAAGATTCCCTTCTCCCTCAGTTATTCATTTATGCATAGGATAGCATTATATAATTTTTAATATATATTAATATCGCTTCTTCCCCTCCCCAACACCCACTTTCCATCTCCAGGTAACTCTCTGCTAAACTCAGAATTATATTTTTTACTTAAACCAAA